TGTGAGTGATGATTCCTTGGGTAAGAGGAGGGCATTTTCGTGCCCTTTGAGAAATGCGAGAACCCAATACTTCCATCTAGTGGCCTAGAGGAGAACTTCAAACCGAACCCAATTGGCCTATAGGATTCCGTATAAGCCCTGTAGGGAACCCTATAGGCTTGATAGGGAACCCTACAGGTCCGATACAGAACCCTTTGGGTCCTATAGGGAACATAAAGGCCCTATGGGGAACCATATAGGTCCCAAACTGAACCCTATGGAGCCTATAGGAACCTTCAGGATTCCTTTAGGTTCCTATAGGATTCCTACATATTCCTAAAGGAATATATAGGAATCCTATAATACATTTTCGTAAGGAGAAACAACTCCCCTCCTTTTCAGTTGGAAATGATAATACAAAATTACCATTTCCAACTGAAAAGGAGGGGAGTTGAAAAAAAGTAGCATCAGTCTCACCAAATGTTTCGAAGTTAACTACAGAAACAAGATTTCCTGATTTGCAGCGTAGCAACATTTAAAACATTTAATTAAGACATACATGCCAACATACCAAATTTTGCTATTTTCCTTGCAAAAGTCGATGAAGTTGAACGTCTTAAAGAGATAATTGCATGAAAAATTTTCATTTTCCTCTTTGGTTCTGGGAAACCGCGACGTGAAGTTACTTTTGGTCCTGATTTCGCACAAAATCCGTTGAAAGATGGTGTCTGATGGTAATTAATCGATATCAGATCCTCGCTGAGGCCACGTCCGAAATGCCAACTGAAACGTATCAGTGTCTTAAAGGGAATCCACGGGACTATCTCCACGAAATTCCATTCGTATTCTTCTAACGACCTCGTGTGTGTCTCTTGAAACCCGCATGAATTGAAATACAAATACAAAAAACCCAAATTTTAAATTGAAAATTTTGAATTCTAGAAGGAAAAAGCTTGAATTCTATATTCGCATCTACCAGTTCATACCCATCGATTCTGCCCAACATCGCCTGGGATCAGTCGCCAGTGAACTGTGTTGGAATTATCCTGCATGCTTTTTTATTTTTTAATTAATTAAGTAACGTATATTACATTTATTAATATTTATTAATAATATTAAATATATCCCGGGTGGTATTTCCTAAAAGTTATCCAAAAGCATGATTTTCCCCGATTTCTATATCTAATTGTTGTATACCAAGTTTCAGGTTTCTGCCGCTCCGTTTCGGAAAAATTATTAAAATAAGTACCACTTGTGAAAGTGCCCCAAGGCGATAAACCTCTAAGTAAATCCGAAATATATTTGTAAATATTATTTCAGCATCAAAAAGACGTCCTGAAGAGATGAAACTTAAAATTAATTTTGTATTTATTTAAATCGGTACCAAAACTACTTGCTACTTGAATACCAAATTTCCACTTTCAATATTTTCCCGTTTCGATGAAACTAAACAATTTAGTTCAAAATATGCCTGATAAGTATGCCCTGAGATATTTATCAGAAACTGAAAAATACCATGAAATCAATGGAAAAAAATGAAATGATTAATGTGGAGATATTTAGTACTCGGTCTGCATCCCAATCGGTACTTATGTACCGATAAGTACGAGAAAGGCTGCCGGGATGAGGGAATGGCGGGTCAAGCGCCGATTTTTCCTTACCGAATTTAACATTTAATTTTCTGATATACCATTTTAAGATAGTCTGAAGAATTTATTTTGCGGACGAGTCTTCCTTCTTTGCATTACGTGCAATTTAAAAGAAAATCCGCCAACGTCGACGAGGAACAGCTGATCGCGGAACAGCTGATCGGCGCCTTGCACATGGGATTCCTCTCCGATTCTTCGACAAGGAGGAAGTGATGAGATGCAGCCCCGAGGGTTCTCGCCCCCCTCTCGTCTTGTTTACCCCTTATGTAACGTGTTGCCCCTCGTAACGCGTTGCCCCAGCCTTGACAGTGGACATTCTTCCATTCGCGTGATCCGCATGCACGCACGAAAATGCTGAGGCAGTCAGCATTTTCGCTCGCACGAGGCGAGACTCCATCGCGCGTCTCCTGCGCTGGTCGCTTGGCACTTTCCCCACTTAAACCCCGCGATTCGACCTTGCGAAGCGAATGGACGAGGAAAAAATGGACGAGACACGCGGGAACGACGAGAGAGCGAAATTAAAACCCCCGCCAAATCCCACGCGCACGCATCCCCCTCACCCCTTGCTTACGTCCGAAACATGTAAACACGCAAGCGGATAAACAAGGGAGCACCCCGATCCCCTCAGATCATCTTCAGATCATCCTCAGCCCTCCTCGCCGACAGGATCCAGTGTCCGCTCCGACTCGCTCCGACCGACACAGACCGACACAGACCGACATCCCTTGTTGCCAAGATGAGGCTGCTCCTCGCCGTCGTCGTCACCTTCGCCGCCGTCAGCCTGTCGTCCTCTCAGGTCGGTTCCCTGGACTTTTCAGTTCCCAGGCCTTCTCCAGGCCTTTAAATCCCCTCCAAAAATGTAAGAGCGTCCGATCCAGACATGAGCCAAAGAGGAAAATGCACAATGTCCGTGTGGAAACTGTAAGCTCTGTGCCAAAAATTTGTTTTTGGCATGAACTTCGCCGAAAGGAGCAGTCAGATTTAGGACGAAATTAAAGGGTGTACACCAAATTTAAAAATGAGCTGATTACATTTGTTAAAATTCGCCATCCTCAAGACAAAATTTTCACATCGATCCATGATTGAAGTATTTTTTTTTGTTTCGGCTCCCTTTTTGCAAATTTGCTGACACCACGTTATGCAAGTAAAAACTCAGAACAAAGTGAGAAAATTCAATTCTCCCCCCCCCCCGCCCCGCCCCGCCCCGCCCCGGTCTTTGCAACCGCTGCAGGAAATCTCCGATAGACATGAATGACCCAGTTTCGCCCTCCGTCCCCTGAGTGGGGAACGAGAAGAAACAGGCGCAGGAGGGGGGAGCGCCTGTTAAAGCGCCTGTAAAATCGAGACGCAGAGCGAATTCTTCGGAATTCGACCCGTCGCTCGAGCCCCGAAAATCCGTGAATTTTTTTCATGTCACCCAACAATTTCTTGCAAGCCCCTGCAAGCAATCCCTTCCCTGCCAATTCTTTAAAATTATTAGATTTCCTCCGGCAGTCCTCTCACGGTCCTCTCACGGTCCTCCTGCCTCCGCAGGTCCTGATGGCCTACGAACTGGCCAAGTCCGCCGTGGAATCCGTCTATTCCAGCTACGAAGAGGCGCCTTACGAAGTCGTCTCGACGAGAGAGGTCGGTTCCCCTCGCAGTCCAACGAAATTCAACTTCAATTTTTCATTTAATTTCAAATTCAAATTTTCATTCAATTTCAAATTCAAATTTTCATTCAATTTCAAATTCAAATTTTCATTCAATTTCAAATTCAAATTTTCATTCAATTTCAAATTCAATTAAATTTGGGATTCCTGAAGGGCTACGAGATCCGTCGGTATCCCGGGAAAAAGTGGGCCTGCACCAACAGGACTGCCGAGGACTACGACACCCGCATGTTCTTCAGGCTCTTCAGATACATCTCCGGCGAGAACCAAGGAAGTGAGAATTTTTTTTCGCAATTTTAATTTTTTTCCCTTCGCCAAAAACGTCACGATCGCAATTTTTTTTTTTTTTTT